GGGAGTCGAACCGCGACAGTGCAGGATGGAAGCTTGACACGCTAACCACTCGGCTACACTGCCACGAGCGACTTTTAGGTCACAGGGCAAATGTGAATTTTCAAGGAAGGCCAGGCCTTTTTGCCATATGCTATTCTTTGGTGGGATTGTCGATGAAGCAAACGTATGCTTTGTCATAACAGTCGACTACTATACTTTGTCTATACGATCAGTAGATCATAAATACGAAGTGTATACCAAATAGGGATTTGCCTCGCCAAAAATCCGACGACCGAATGTGATATGGGAAAATACCTGCCCTTCCTTGAAATTCACATCTGCCCTCTGGTCCAAGGGCACTCATGGAAATTTGGCGTAGTAATTAATGTGCCGAGGTTATACACTGCACTGTCTGGGTTCGATTCCCGCTGTGGTTGCTGATGAGACCGAGGCAAGGCCAAAACTGCCGTCCAGTCCAACCTGGATGAGAATTCCGTTTTGGAAGTAAGGCTAAATGCCATTCAATGACATCGTTATGCCTACTCATTTGATTGACGGACAATTCAATTATCAATACAGTTTTTAGATCAGATCTACTATTAATCTCAAAAGCCTACTCATAAAACCGAAAATCACTGTCCTTGTGTCTTTCTCCTTTTTTTACAGGCTTGAGCCATTTGTCGGCCTCCGCAACAAAGGGCAAGTCAAATCGGCTGGCTATCATGAACGCCCTCAACTTCTGCTGTCTGGCCGGCCGAGTGAACGAGGCAGCCAAGGCGACTGCGCAACGGGCGTTGAACAGCACTGAGGGCAAGCATTTTGTCATTCTTCTGCGAGGCGCCGGAAGCTGCCAGTACCAGGGCCTCTACCGGTACCTGCCCGAGTTGGACGCTATGCTTCGCCTGACGGGAGGCGGGCCAAGACTAGTCAACAACACTATGATTCAACGTTTCTACAAGTAGGTCTGCTTCGAAGGTGGTACTGATTTCTGGCTCCAGAATACTCAATGTTTCTGGGCTAATTGACAGCCTGTGTAGCCTAGACGAAGTAGTGATGACTTATTACTCGATTTTGCCTGCCCATTTGGCTTAATTAAGAAGATTTTTTTTAGAATGATGACAATTGTACAGGTAATGGGGAATTTGACGCTTTTCTTCATTGTTCCATGACTTTTATTTCATGGGAATGTACCTTAAGAAGATATTTTCAGGTAAACCTCGCCATGAGAGACGTCGGCTGATTATTGCTGTTCTACAGCTGTTTGTCTTTACAACGACGCTCAAGTCGACTTAGTCCACGATGTACCAGCTTGTGGTTCTGGTGACAGGCAGTGTCAGAGCTGTAACTCATTCTTGCAAAAACTTCGAGTTAACACTGTCAAGAAGGCTAGCCGAATCTGCATTCTTCGCTAGGCCTTAAATCACAACCAAAAATGAGAAAATATGAAGATGGAATGATCTGGTTACTATTTTTTCATCTTTATGCTAGTACTTATATGCTTGAGCGTAGATATGCATGCATTTGTGAATGTACTTGTTTGGGGTTGCTTAAGCAACCCTAGTCATGATTTTCTTTAGGTCATTAGATCTTAATGATCCAGGACTAGCGTTCGGCCTTTTTGTAATTATTTTTTGTTATTAAGCAGATCTTTGAGGCTACCAGTTGATCATGTGTATTAGATGTATTCAGTCAATTTCATTTAAGGTGATGAAGGAGTGGTAGTTTAGTTTTTCCCTCAACCATATGCTTAGGCTTAAATGAACTGCAGTTTCGACCTCGCATGAACTAACCTTATCAGCACCCTCAAAGTGACTCGAACTCTGGTGGCTCAGTGTATATCTTGACATCTTATATGGTCGATTGCTATATAAATAGCATATTGTTTCGATGACACGACCACTACAGAATGTATTATGGCAAAAGACTTGGCCTGTGATGCAAGGGCAATCATGGCAGTGTTGCGCAGTTGTTTTTTTGTAGAAATTATACACTCCACCATCACGGTTCGAGTTCCGCCAGGGGGGCTGATTCTGACCTACGCGAGGTCAAAACTGCAGTCCCCTTAGGCCTAAGCATATGGTTGGGGGGAAAACGAAAGTATCACTTCTTAATCACCTTAAACGAAGTATGGTGAATACATTTCATGTTTTACTAATTACCCCGAGCTATAGACGATATTATGCACTTTGACTTACATGTGTACTGATGTTAACACACTGACATTCACACTCATACACACATACTCAAATATACGTATCCTAATTACTGGGAAAAGGAACTTTCAAAATCATTATATACCTGTCTATCTATATCTCTATATGTTCGTTTTTAGTTGTGAAAATAGATAGAATGTAGCATAAAAACGGATAGTGTTTAATTGAAACTCTTGCAAGAATGAGTTTTAGCTCTGACGATATCTGCATGACAGACAGAAGTCC